ACAGGGTCGCTATGAGTCGGAACCAACTCCACAGCACATAACAACAACAACATATATATGTATATATATCCTGGTGTAACACTGTAGGATAAGCGCTGGACTACTAACCACAAGGTTAGTGATTCAAATCTACCAGCTGTGCCTTGGAACACACACACACACACACACACACACACACACACATATATATAAAATCTAGTACAGGTGAAAGAGTGCCAATGCTGGTTATCTTTTCTTTAAACTTCTTTTCAGACTTTGCCTTGTTTGGACTTTTAATGGTACTCTTGAGAAATGGTATCTGCCAGTAGTCGGTCAGGAAACATGCATTTAAAATAGCTGCTCTTAAGATTTCAGATTCATGAGTGCTGTTTCTAATTGAACAATATTTGCAGGAAACTTACTTAACAAAACAACTGAGAAGTAAGGCAAGTATTATGTTTCATCATTGACATAATTAAAGTTACAGTTAGAACTCAAAACTGTAAAACCATATTTCCCTTTTCTAGGATACATGGGAGTGCTTCAAACCCTACAGATGAGGGAGGGACTGTGATGGATAATATATGAAGTTAAAGTCTCAGAGAGAGCTTGGTAGGAAGGAGGCCTTTGAGGGGCAGTTTGCACCATTAATCTTCACACAGCACTGATTTTAAACCTTTCCAGACAGTTCAGATAGACTCTATCTATCCTTGTTTGAAAGACCTCCAAAGGAGTCCTCTCCTTAGCCACTCTTCAACAATCCATTCTGATACTTAGTAATTTGTGATAAAGAAATGCTCCCAGATACCTTTCTCAAAGCCTTCATATTTGCTTTCCTTTTTTCAGCTGTTCTGTCTATTGGAGATCACTAGGTTTTTTGCTAGAACAATTAGTCTAATCAAAAGTCAGTGGGAAACATTTCAGTCTTTCCTTTAACATTAGTAATACTATGTTATTTTCCAAACACTACTCATCTGGGTGACTCTAAACTTCTAAAGAGACTCCATAATTGAAAATTGTTATTAAGTGCCGTCTAGTTGGTTCCAACTCATAGTGATCCTATATATGGTTTACAAGGAGTGGATGGTGGCTTTGCTGTTAGCAGTCCAGTGCTTACCCTACATTACCATAACAGGACTCTGTAACAGAAAATGTTCCTATTGTTGTTAAATGTCATCAAGTCAGCGCTGACTTATAACCACTGTATAGAGGGTTTCCCAGGAGTCCTGGTAGCTGGGCTGTTAACTGAAAGGTCAACAGTTCTAATCTACCAGTTGCTCTGAGGGAGAAAGAAGAAGCTTTGTGTTCTCTGTGGCACTGCAGGATAATGCACTCTGGACCATAAGATTAGTTTGAACCACAAGGTCGGTAGTTCAAACCCACCAACTGCTCCTCAGAAACCCTATACAGGGTCGCTATGAGTTGG